CTCCGCCGAGCCGCTCAATCTGGAAATCGTCTCAGCCGAATTCTTCTCCGTCGAAGAACTCGCCGCCCAGCTGGAAGTCGAGTCCTGCTCCGCAATTCCTCCATTGACCCGGAGAGGTAAACCATTCGTTCTTCCTAATTTGAAGCTCAAAGTTGTTATGGAAGCCATTAGGATGGTTCTTGAAATCGTATATGATGATCGCTTTGTTACATTTTCTTATGGCGACTGAGTCAATCTGGGCTGCTACACTGCAATCGGTTCCTGAAGAGCTCTGTAGAAAACCCTAGTTGGTAGTTTACCATTTTCTTTAATCCTAAAAAGTTTGGAACTAATCATGTTGATAAATTGTGCTTATTTATTGAAGAGGTGATAAGGACTTGATTGATTTGGTGAAGAGGTGACATGGAATTCTTACCCCTAAACTACAGAATTCGGCTGAGACGGTTTCCAGATTGAGCGGCTCGGCGGAGGAAGAAAGAGGTGACGAAATGATTGATTTACCCCCCTAATATTTAATTTAAAATGGATTATTTTTTTTGGCGAAAATTCACCGGTGATTTGGCCGGGAGGACCAAATCTGCTAAAAATAGCATAGTTAAAGGACTAAATTTTTAGTTTTAAAAGTCATGGACCGAAATTAACACGCCCCGTATAGTCACAGGACCAAAAGTGTAATTTGCTCAACAAATTATTACTTATGTAAACTAAAAAGATCTCTTTATGGCCTAAAATAGGCCCCCAAGCAGTGGAATGAAAAGTTTCACAAGACTTTAATGGACCTAGGCTACACGACTTGTTGAAAATCCCCGAAGGGATTATTTGTTGTGCAGGTATGTACCCGCGGGCGGAACAGCGGGTAGAGCTCTACCCGCCGCCCCACCCGCGGGGTACACACTCGTGGGACAAAGGGTTCCCACGGGTGGTGGTCCACCGGTGGCCCCACCCGCGGGGAACATTATGTGGTTGTTGGGGGATTTGTTCCTCGTGATTCTTTTGACTCGATATTTGGTATTTTGACTTCCCGATATTCTTTTGTGGAACTATTTGAGCGTCTTCTTGATGTTTCGTATGTCTAGAACTATACGGTAGGATTCCATGTAGGTTTTGGTGTCTTGAATCGTGCTAAGTGTTCAACATTGTGTTTCGTTGAACCGTGATGAGTCTTGTGTGTTCTTCGGAACTACGTTTGGTTTACCCGTTTGATAAGCATGCTCGTTCAGTGTTTAAATGCTAGCGTGTGTGTTGTTTGTACCTTCCTTGGTTGATGATAACTTGTGTTATTCATCGTTGTTGTTGTGGACTGTGATCCATTCCTTGATTGAGTATGGTTTCATATCTTCGTTGTGATCCGTTGATTGATTCCTGTTGAGGTGTGATGTGTGTGTGGCTGTACCTGGATTGCAGGATTAATGGTATGGGACATTAGTCACCAAGGTACGGCAGTGGTCCTCGTGGTGCCATGACGCGATTATGGAGTTTGTGACCTGAGTGATGGGTTCACGTATTTCTTGGGTGGCATGTGTTGCCGTGTGTGTGATCGGTACCTTGTGTACTATGAATCGGTGGTCTTGTTGGTGGTTGTTGGTGGGGGACGACGGTCCCAGGAGGGAAAAGGTTGGACTCAGAAGTACAGGGGTCCTGGAGGTAATGGTTGGAACTAGCTATAAGGTTGGGGGTAGCCATAAGGTTGGAACCGGGCATAAGGAAGGCATCTCAATTCGTGATGGGTGATGTCACGAAGGCTTGTGTAGCCGTTGTTGTGTATTTCTCTATTTTGTGACATGTGTTGTCACAAAGGCAATGTGTTGCCAATGGTTGTGTCCTTAATCTCTTCTATTATGCATGTCGGGTGTTAAACTACTGTGTGAAGGTAGATTATGCCTTGAGCCGTTCTTCTGAGTCGTTATTGCTTCTTGACGTATTGGGATGTGTTCCCTTATATTTATTGAGAGTGTATAGAGTCTTGTGTTGATCTCTATCTCGGTTTTAAAGTGATATATACTATATCCCATTTCGCAAATGATTTTGTATATATAAACTATCTACATATGATATTTCACATGTATTGGTGGGTTACCAGCATTATTCGCTGACCGGGCGTCGTCCCATTTCTTATTGTTGCTTTACAGGTTGGGTAGCTTTGGAGAGTGCGCTAGTGGCCTATAGATAGATTAATCTCTTCCTTTAATAGTTGTTGAGGCCTGTGAGCCTAAGTAGTTGAATTGTTAGGTGCTGTAGTTGTAGTATCTGCCTGTGCACCTATGTTTGTTATAGGTGTGGCATAGAACCTTCCTGTTTATTTAGTTAGATTCCGCGTTGTTTAATCTTAATGAGTAGTCTTTATCCCTTTTCTAAGCGTTAATTGGTTTTAAAAGTTGTTAAAAATCGGGGGTGTTACAGTGATATTTGATGCATGATCTTGTGATGATGCATGTTTAGAGCTTGTATTTAGGTTTCTTGAATGCCATTGCTTGGCTATTTCTTGGGTTTAAGTCATATCTTTGTTGTGTGTGAGATTTTGGGTATTTTGGACTTGAACTTGGCTTTGTTGATGAATTTCCCCGAAGGGAAAATTGGTGTACAGGTGAGGTACCCCGCGGGCGGAACGGCGGGCAGTGGCCTACCCGCCACCCTACCCGCGGGGAACAGGTTGTTGTGGCTGTGTACCCCGCGGGCAGGCCCACGGGTGGGGACCTACCCATGGCCCCACCCGCGGGGAACGTATTGATGATGATGCTGGGATTTGTTCCCCGTGATTCTTTTCTTCTTGGTATTGATGTTTTGACCTCCCGTTGTTGAATTATTGAGCTATTTGTGAGTCTCCTTGATGTTTCATATGTCTAGAATGACGAGTTAGAAATCCATGTTAGGATTTGGTGTCTTGAATCGTGCTAAGGGTCCAACTTTGTGATTCGTTGGGCTAATATGAGTCTTGAAGGTTCGTTGGAACCATTTTGGTTTACCCGTTTGATGAACGTGCTAGTTTGATGTTGTTATGCTAGTGTGTGCGGTTTGTTCCTTCTTACTGGGGTTGGCAACTCGCGTTGTCAATCATTTTTATGAGGATTGTAGTCCTTGATTGTTGAGTATTGTCTCATGACGTTATTGAAATCCCTTGATTGATTCTTATGGTGTATTCTTGTACAAATCGTTATACCCTTTGTTGATGTTTGATTGGGGCTATTAATGAGCCTTAGTCTTCTTAATGATGATGATTATGTGTGACTATGAATGAGATTGATGGTTTTGTTACTTGAGTTTTGCTCACATGATCGATGGTATGTTACTATGATTTGTACGGTACCCTCGTGTACTATGAGTTCGGCTGTATTGTTTGGCGGGGGACGACGGTCCCAGACCGGGAAAAGGTTGGACTCAGAAGTATAGGGTGGCACTCGGAGGTACATGTTGGAACTGTGATAAGGCCGAGGGTAACCATAAGGGTGGTACTAAGGTATAAGGTTGAAACGTGAATTTGTCATTATGATTGTGTATTTTCCTTGCTTATGAGCATGTGTATGATGAACTCTACCTTGCGAATGGTAGGTTGCACCTCGAGTTGTGTTATCCTTTGTTGTTTATGGTTTTGTGTCTTGTTGAGGTTGATGATCATCGGTTCTTGTTGAGAGTGTGATGAGTCTTTGATGTTGATCTCTTTCTGGCTTTAAAATGACTATATACTGTATTCCTCAGTCTCAAACGCTTTTTATTATACCTATCTATATACTATGCTATTTAACACGTATTGATGGGTTACCAACTCTATTCACTGACCGGGTGTTATCCCCATGTTTTAGAGGTTTTGCTTAGTCCGGAATGCGCGCTAGATGAGGACTCTAGATAGTATAGCTCCTGTGGTTAGATGTTTTGCTTCTGTTGGCCTGTGTGCCTAGACTAGTGGCCTGTGTGCCTAGACTAATGTTACGTTTTGATGATTGTGATAGACTTAGCCTGTGCACCCATAGTTCTATGGGTGTGGCATAACATCTTTCCTGGTTTATTATAGCTTCTGCTTTTGTTGATTGATGTTTAGTTTGCTTGCCTTTGAATTTTAAGTTTTAAATTTTGGTAAAAATCGGGGGTGTTACAATTATTATTGTTGTTGTTGTTGTTATTGAATTGCATCTTTACAGTACGCATTCCATTATTATTATTATTATTATTATTATTATTATTATTATTATTATTATTATTATTATTATTATTATTATTATTATTATTATTATTATTATTATTATTATTATTATTATTATTATTATTATTATTATTATTATTATTATTATTATTATTATTATTATTATTATTATTATTATTATTATTATTATTATTATTATTATTATTATTATTATTATTATTATTATTATTATTATTATTATTATTATTATTATTATTATTATTATTATTATTATTATTATTATTATTATTATTATTATTATTATTATTATTATTATTATTATTATTATTATTATTATTATTATTATTATTATTATTATTATTATTATTGTTGTTGTTGTTGTTGTTGTTGTTGTTGTTGTTGTTGTTTTTGTTGTTGTTTTTGTTGTAGTTGTTGTTGTTGTTGTTGTTGTTGAATTGCATCTTTACCGTACGCATTCCATTATTATTATTATTATTATTATTATTATTATTATTATTATTATTATTATTATTATTATTATTATTATTATTATTATTATTAAATTTTGAATTATGGAAATAATGACTTGCAATTTACACCTTTCAATTTCTATGAGGGCATTTAAGTAATTGATGTAATATAACCTAAAATATAACATTCAACCAAACAAGTTAATGTTACATTCCTACAACTTTAACCAAACACATAGATATTCTTACATTCTCAAAATCTCACATTACTTACCCCCAGGTAATCCTATTACCTAGGGTAATCTAAGATTCCGTAAACCAAACGCCCCCTAAATATTAATAAATGCTCTCTCCCCCATTCATACATATATATACACATATATACATATACATACTGATACGATCCCACATCGGCTCCACAAGAGATTGTGAAGTGGTACTTAAGTTGGGGCCAAACCTCCACTCATGAGCTAGCTTTTGTGGTGGAGTTAGGGTCTTAGCTTGAGTACCGTATCATTTGGTGCTCTCGTTGAGAGGCCGGAGAGTGGTGGGAAAGGGCTACCTGGAAGAGGGCTACCCGGTGTTTGATAAGGTTCAAAGGGGACCGAGAAGAATCCGGAGTGAAAGATATCCAGAGTGAAGCCGTCCACTCATCCGGTGCCGGCCCAGTGGAGGGGGCGACCTAGAAAAGGGCTACCTGGTGCTTGATAAGGTCCGGAGTGAAGCCATCCAAAGGGGAAAAGGGCTACATGGTGTCGAGAAGAGTCCGGAGTGTGAGCTCTCTAGAGAAAGCCGCCGCGGACGTCGGCTTCTCAAGGGGTGGATAATGATACGATCTCACATCGGCTCCACAAGAGATTGTGGAGTGGTACTTAAGTTGGGGCCAAACCTCCACTCATGAGCTAGCTTTTGTGGTAGAGTTAGGGTCTTGGCTTGGGGTGGATAATGATACGATCCCACATCGGCTCCACAAGAGATTGTGGAGTGGTACTTAAGTTGGGGCCAAACCTCCACTCATGAGCTAGCTTTTGTGGTGGAGTTAGGGTCTTGGCTTGAGTACCGTATCACATACATACATAAGACAATTGTAAAGGTGATTTAAAAAAAAAAAAGTAAAATAAAATAGCATATGGTTCATTGCCTGTTGCGATTTGAAATTATTAAATTATTATTTTTACTTAATAATAATAATTTTAATTTTAGACTAGGTTAATAGTCAAGTAGAATTCATTTATGAACTTATAACTTATTTTAAGTTTTAAATAAGTTTTAAGATGGTACTTCCTATACATTATAGCCTTTCAAAATAAGTTTATAATCGTACCTTATAATTTATTTATTTATTTTTCATTTCTATATATCCTTCTTATTAAATTTTAATCATCACTATATCTTTCCACTTTTTCCTCCATAGCTATTAACCTTCAAATTCATCTTTTTTTCTTTTTTTTTTTTTTTTTTTTTACTTAAAAAACACTCACATGTGAATTATTCTTCAAAAATAATTATCATTGTAGTGTTTTTGTTTTAAAAACATTAATACAGATATATTATTATATTAATATTAAGAGAAAATGACATATTTGGTTCATGAGTTATTCTATATTAACGACTAAGTTCCTCAGTTATTACTGTATCCATCTTTTACCCTCAATCATGAGTGAAGTGGTGTTTTTTGATCTCCGACGTTAGAGATCCATCTAAACTTACGAAAAACTCAAAAACCCTTTAAAATTTGAGGGGTAAAGTAGGAAATTCACATATTATTTTTCTTCTATATTGAAATTACTTTCGCAACATTATTTTTCACTTCCCAACCTCCTATTTCAAGATTCTTCAACTCGAAAAGCATTTCAATAACCCTCTTATAACTTGTTAGGAATTTGGGTCTCGTATAAGAAATATGTGGCTCAGTACAAACAAGGTAACCCTTGATCGCTATCTACAAACTACCTAAGCAATTAGAAGTGCCTGTCACAAATATGTCTCTAAGGAGACAACCCTATCAAATCCTCAATAATCCTCTCCATCATATCAGCTCAAGATTAGGTTGCTCGATGTTTTCCCACCATGTAGATACATGGTTTTGGCCCATTTGCTAATAAGTCAGCCACACAATTCTGTTTGATGTAGTAGTAAGTATGATACTCCAGTTCTGTGCAATCTACCAACAATATCTTCTAATGATAGTATTTAATAGGCCACTACTTTCTTTTCTCTTGTGAACAAGGTCCATAACCTCCGTAGAATCAAAGTTCTACTACATGTACTTCCAAATTCTATTTCTTCACGTACGTGGTAGATAATGATAGGCTATTTTCATCATATAGGTTCTAAGCAAAATGTTTACATTAAAATTTTGAGGGTGAGAGTAAGATTTGGAAGTAGAACTTGGGAGTTCACATAATAATTTCCATAGAATTGCTCTGTATCACTAATCTTCAAATACCCTTCCTCCAAGCTCATTCTAGACCTTTCATGAGCGTCCAGGCTCATGCAAGCCGTGTGTTAGACATGTATGTCCTAGGAGCCAACATTTATTGTTCCTGGCATTGGATTTTTATTAAATAAATATAATAACCCTTCCTCCAAGCTCATTCTAGACCTTTCATGAGCGTCCAGGCTCATGCAAGCCGTGTGTTAGACATGTATGTCCTAGGAGCCAATATTTATTGTTCCTGGCATTGGATTTTTATTAAATAAATATAATAACCCTTCATCCAAGCTCATTCTAAGCTCATTCTAGACCTTTCATAGCAGTGTCCTAAGGGCCCCCCACACTCCGATCCGACAGAGCGGTGACTCAATGGGTTAGTAGACATGGACATGGCCAAATACCGGTGCGCACAAGGAATCTGCCCACTTTGGACATAATTCCCACATTACCGCCGCCGAGGTTCGGACTTTGGTCTCTTACCCCAAATACTGCCCACTAAACCATTGAGCTAAGCCCGTGCGGGTAAATTATTTCTTATTCTCGAGAGAGTACAAGGAAAAAGTCTAAGTGTTTAGAGAGAGAGAGAGAGAGAGAGAGAGAGAGAGTAGTGGAGAGAGAAAAGAGCCAAAAGTCCCCCTCACCAAAGGGTCTAGTGCCCTTAAATAGGTTTAAGAGCTGACACGTTGACTTTGACCATGACCCAAACTGTTTGATTCCGACTCGACTACAAAACGAGAGCATGTATAGGGATGTCAAAATTGGGAAATATTTACTATCACATACAATCTTTTTATTTCTTCATTCTTAAGAGTTAAGAATATGAGTGACGAAGAATTAATAAATGACATATTGTAAAATTTTCCTAGTCATAGGAATTCTAATTGGACATTAGAATTTCGATAAGACTAGCACATTATCCTTCTTATGGTGAGTCTCATGTCATTCTGTATGCGATACGGAGAGTGGACATGTGGATGATTGTATGAGAACAAGTCATAGAACAATGACTGACTACAACGTACCGCATGGTGTTTACCTACGTGTCATTGGTATGTTGTATGTTACAAGTATGTAATACTCCTTTGACTTGAGATGACATGGTCGTCTCGTACATATGGTGGATTAGTTTTTGCCAGTGCGTGTTTTTGTTGTTTCTTATGGGACTATAAGTGTACTTGGTGGCCTAGTTCAGTATTGCGGAGACATGTATGCTAGAGGATCCACCGCCTTGAGGTAACAAGGATGTTCTTGATAGGAATATTTTTTGTACAATAGTTTCGATGAGTCAAATGTATTTTAGATCCCCTTAGTTGATTATGATCTTTACACAAGCATCATAATTCAGAAGGTCAAGCCAAAAGGAAGCAATGATATTAAAAATCTACGAAATGAAGAACAAAATTAATTTGGAGAATTAATTTTGGTCCTAGGAGTATTCATCCAGAAGACATATATCAAGTAAATGATGTTACAATGAATAAATTGGATGAACTTCTTGGTGAGATGGTAGAAGTCTTTACACACAAAGATTATAGCCAAGATTGAATCCCCCTAAAGATTTATTTTTTTAGAAGCCTGAATCAGAAGAAGCACATCTAGCTTAAGGCAAGGAAGAAGTGACCAAGTCAAACAAGCAAGATGCTCTTATTTTAATTAAGCAAGAAGCTCAATTGCACCAAATAAACATCTTAGACGCACAGACAAAATCTGGTCTAACAAGCAAGAAACAGATGTTATTTACTACAAGAAAGAAGTTCAAAATGCACTAATAGAATATCTGAGATGCACCGTCAAGTTAAGTCAAATAAGCAAGATGTGGCTTAATTGTAAACAAGCAAGGCTGAATTATCAACAAGAAATGTGACAAATCAGATTCTACAAAGTGAAGGAAAACTCAAAGGAATGTTGAATATTTCGAAGAGGCAAATATTAATATTTTGACTTGTCTCAAAAATCAAGAAAGCCTGAGGATATGATCAGAATGATAAAGTTTATATTATCCTTATGACAAGAGACATGAAGACATGAAGAAAATCTTATCTAAGAATTAAATCATGTCAGAAGATTAATTGCAAAGAGACAGGTCGGTGATCCGAAGAAGAAGAAAAGATATTATTTTTAAAAACAACTTGAAAACCAAGTTAAATAAAAATATTATCTTGTCAGGAAAGTTGGCAATCAAATCAAATTGAAGATCCTATTGTCAACAATATCAGGCTACGAATTTCAAATTTCAAATATCAAATTATCCCGCTCCAACGGATATATTTGGTCATCTTTAAAAAAAAAAGCCTTGAAGACTTGAAGATAAAAGAGAGACAAGACAGACGGACGACTTGCAAAGAGAAATATACAAGTGCAAAATATCTTTGAGTCAAAATATTCATTGAAATATTTAGAAGAGAGACTTAGTCTGAATAATCTCAAAAGTAGTTGGAGAGAAAAACAATTACCGTCAATTGTAATTGTAAAAAGAGTATAGTTGTGTGCAAAATACTCTAAAAGAGTGTAGCTGTGTGCAAAACACTCGTAGTTGCTAAGTGTAGCTGTGTGCAAGACACTTAGTTGGCGTATGAGTATAGCTATGTGCGAAGTACTCGGAGTTGAGTGTAGTTGTGTGCGAGACACTCGGGGTTGGGTGTAGTTGTGTGCGTGCAAAACACTCGAAGAAGTGCTTGTGTAGCACTTATTCACTATTGTAACTGTGTGGAAAATTGTGAATTACTCCTAGACATGAAAGGAGTAAAGTGGACTAGGAAGATTACGCTACGCCACTTCCGAACCACTATAAACTCTTTCTCTCTCTCATTTACTTACTGCACTTACTTAATTTGCTTTGCATGCTTAGTATTTGACTAACCCGATTACTATTCACGGCTTAATCGTACCTATTCAGATTTGACGTGTTTTTATGTGTGCATGCAACTCAATCTTTTCAAACATAACATTTGAGTTACTTTGAGTAATCTTGACGTGTTGCATGTAACATTTATCACACGGTTGTTCACGCACGAAGTCTTATCCATAATCTTGAATAATCTTGCTAAATATTGAGTGAACCATCTCCTTTAATTATTCAAGATACCCTTGGCTCTCTTACTTATTACTTAAGCTATTTCAAGCATATCCACCGTATTACTTGCGATATATCTCTCAAATTTTACGTAACACTTTACTGATTTATTCCGCTGTGCATCCAAGTTAACTATCTTGTTATTTACATGTTACTTGGAGTTGAAATTACCAAAGCGTTATTTATTGTGAAAAAGTTTAAAGAGTCTATTCACCCCCCCCCCCCTCTCTAGACTTTTTACCACCCTTTCGGGACCAACAATTGGTATCAGAGCAGTTGTCTATTTGAGTCAATTTTGGGTTTATACTTGTGTTG